CCCGGGAGGAAACCACGAGTGCCGACCCCTCCCAGAGTATTTCCCCTTCAAACAGGAGTGTAAGTCCTGGGGCCCGGCCCCCCCACTTCCCCCCCCACCCCCCTGCCAAAGACAAACTGACAGTGATGTTGAGGTACTCGGTGTCCTGTGTGTGTTCCAGGTAAAATAAAGTACTCAGAGAGAGTGTACGACGCCTGTATGGAGGCCTTTGACTGCCTCCCACTGGCGGCTCTGCTCAACCAGCAGTTCCTGTGTGTTCACGGAGGCCTGAGCCCCGAGATCACCTGTCTGGACGACATACGGAAGGTACGAGTGCTCAGAAGAAGACTCAGAATTCAAACCTGATGTCTGTGAGGATTCTGGTTCATTTGGACCTCGGTCTAAAAAAATAAACCTCATTTTCAGGTTATTATTTACCGTAATTTAGAATGTTTTATTTTTGTCTTTTCTTCTAGTTTTGTCATGGAGTGAATTACTTTAAAAAAAATACATATCTGCAAAAACATTAAAAAAATGTTATTACTGTAATTATTATAATATTATTATTTATTATTATTATTCACCCAGTGTTTCTTTAGTTTAGAAAAGCTTCATATAAATGACCTAAAGAACTATTTAACATAAATATTTCCTGCTCCAAAGACAGCGTTTACACCAATCAGAAAAACACAGATTATTACAGATATTATATTAAAAACATGTTTGAGAATTTAAAAATTCTAAATGAGTGATTTTGTTGAAGCTCAGTCTTGGCGTCTGTTTCACCGTTTCCTGTTTTGGCCGAGGTGTCAGTCATTTTGTGTCTGTGACTCTGCAGCTGGATCGGTTCAAGGAGCCGCCTGCGTTCGGGCCCATGTGTGACCTTCTGTGGTCAGACCCGGGGGAGGACTACGGCTCGGAGAAGAGCCAGGAACATTTCTGCCACAACAGCGTGAGAGGCTGCTCCTACTTCTACAGGTACGACGCAGGGGCTGAGTGGAGCGCCGCGCCGCCCGCTGTCACGTTAATCTGCTCCCAGCTTCTCCAAACAAAGGCTTATCTGAGGATAAATGAACGGCGCTTAAATCTGCTGTCACACAGATAATGAAAACAAATATTAGCATTCTCTGCTCTGTCCTCATCCCTCCGCCCGGCGAGCGGCGTTGGCGCTCACGCCGAGTGGCGAGCTGCGGCCGCTCAAAGCCTCTTTGTTGGGCATCAGAGAGGTTTAATACTTTTATGAATTCACAGTGTTTCACTTCACAGCCACATCAGCATAGACACACCAGTGTGCGTGTGTGTGTGTGTGTGTGTGTGTGTGTGTGTGCGCGTCACAGCCTGAGGAAACATGTCCACAGGAAGTGGACGTCAGCAGGTTGATGTCAAGATGCAGTAAAACGGCGTTTTGACTCAGATTAGAGCTCAGATTAAACAGTCAGTGAACGGCTCTTGTTAGCATGTTGTTAGCATGTTGTTAGCAACATGATAAAGTGGCTGCTTTAACACGAATGTTAACAACATTGACTGGACTGTCGTCGGTTTCTCACCTCACAACAATCTGCTGTAGACTCTCAGGTAAAATAAGAATTACTTTGCCGACAGATATTCTTTGTATTTCTGTGTACATCTTCTAGTACTACTGCAGTACTGCAGTACTTTATACACTGCACTGTTGTCATTTAATCACAGATCTTTATTACATAGTCGTAACGATCATTGGAACCAAACTTCCTGATTCGTTCGTGGCCCCAAAGTTGAGGAGAACCGACTGATTGGTGAAAGTAGTGATGTCATCGAGGTCGTTTTCACCTCAGACTGAGTTTCTTTTTAATCTCTCATAAAAAACAAACAAACTAAGAACTGGAAAAGTTCTTAGTTTTTTTCTTCTTTTTGTCTCTGTTAAATTAGAGACACAGTGGATCCAGTTCAGTGGATGTTGTTGCCTCACGTGCTGATTGGCTGAGACCGTTTTTTTTTATCAAACTTCTTACTCATCACAGCATTTCCAAATCGATCCTGTTTATTCCAGTTCCAGTCAGGGTCAACTTTATCTCTCCACAAACAGACTGACCTTGTCCTGATGTGTCCCTGGACTTGACCCCTGACCCCTGACCCTTGACCCCTGAGAGCTCTCTGAGCTGTGCCGTAGACTCACGTCTCCACATCAACAGTCGCCGTCGAAGTGTTTCTTTAATCTTTAAGTCCAACATCGTGAACATGTTTGTTTAATAAAGCAGTGACACGGTTCAGGCTCCAGACGCCGAGGATCACGTTTCCTCCCTGACTGTTCACCTGTCACTCTGCTGTGAGAATGAATTAGCAGCTCAGTGTGTGTGTGTGTGTGTGTGTGTGTGTGTGTGACCCTAATTAATCCCTAATTTTAGCTCTGCCAGCGTCTGCTCTTATACTCCACTTTCACTGGCCTTCTTTACTGTCATAGCAACACGAACGCTCAGAGCTCGTCATGGTCCAACATTAGAACCAAGTCATTCAGAAGAAGAGGTGAAACGACAGCTCCTCATTGGTCAAAGACAAAGAGGACAAACACACACACACACACACACACGCTGTCACTCCTTTATTATTATTATTTTTTTTTTGGACCAGTCTTCCCACTCGGGACAAGTACGTGTCTCTACTGCAGGGATGTTAGACAGTACCTGGAACTACGTGCTTCCAGAAAGTTCCAGAGCCTTTATTTCCAGATAAAGCCCCTGATAATCAGGTAGGACTAGTTCCAGAAACAAGAACCAAAAAAAATACAAGAGACTGGGCTTCAGTCCTGGACTGTGGTCTGACGGACCAATCAGGAACCTCAGGTTCATTCATGCACCGACGTCAGGGAGACGTATGTCATATGTATGTGTATATATATGTATGTATATACATATATATATATATGTATATATACATATATGTGTGTTTATATATATATGTGTTATATATACACATATATACACACATACAGTATATATACACATATATGTGTATATACACATATATGTGTATATGTGTATATATACTGTATATGTGTGTATATATATGTGTATATACATATATATATACACATACATACATATATACAGTTTATATATATATATATATATACATATATTCAATGTCGGAGAATGAATTATTTCTAATATTCTTGTGATTCTGTTTCTGCCTCATTTTCTCCTCTTTTGTCTCATCTTCCTCCTCACCTGCCATCGTCTCTCCTTGTCTCCGTCCTCCTCTTCCTCCTCCTCCTCCTCCTCCTCCTCCATCACTACGTCTTCTTCCTGTTTCCTGGTAACTCCATCTCCACCAGCCTCTGTCCTGTCCATCATCTCCACACTGCTCCACCTTCTCTGCGTCTTTCTTCACCTGTGTGTGTGCGTGTGTGTGTGTGTGTGTGTGTGTGTAGTTGGTGTTCTCGTCCTGACACCTGTGGTTGTTTTTTTTTTTTTTTTCAGTTACCCAGCCGGATGTGACTTCCTGATGAACAATAACCTGTTGTCTGTAATACGAGCACACGAAGCCCAGGACGCCGGGTGAGTCCAGCTCCCCCCCCTCCTCCCTCTCCCCCCACCCTCTCCTCCTCCTCCCTCACTCCCCACCTCTCGACTCCTGCCACCATTTTCGTTGATATTTCTAACTGTGTAAGATTTAAAGTGGAGTAAATACATTTTAAAAAATCACATTGTTTCTTAAGTACATAATACTGCAGGACGTCCAGTAGGTGGTGCTCAAAGCACTACTTCATCAGAGTTCCCTTCAGTTGAAGAAGACGTTAATGCTACGATGTCTTGTTGGTACTGGGCAGACGAATAAAAAACACAAGAACTGGATTTTAGGGGGAGGGAGAAAGGTGAGGGGGGGTGAGGGGGTGTCGAGGTGGAGTGAGGACCTGAATCCGACCACTGTCCTCTAAGACCAGGATCTTTAAGGTGTGAACCATGAACGATGGTTCCTGGTTCTCGTAGTTTACAGTGAAGGTTCAGCTCTGACACATCATCTCAGGTCAATATGTATTGATCAGGTGTGTGTGTGTGTGTGTGTGTGTGTGTGTGTGTGTGTGTGTGATTGTATGTGTGTGTCTTCGTCAGGTATCGAATGTACAGGAAGAGTCAAACCACAGGTTTCCCGTCTTTAATCACCATCTTCTCTGCTCCGAACTACCTGGACGTCTACAACAACAAAGGTAAAGGCAGCCGGCAGCGTAACCATGGCAACAGGCTGGGAAACCTTGAAGCCTTAGCAACGGAGCGATGACAAGGAGATATTAACCACTCTGTGTGTGTGTGTGTGTGTTTTTGTGTGTGTGTGTGCGTGGTCCTCAGCTGCGGTGCTGAAGTACGAGAATAACGTGATGAACATCCGACAGTTCAACTGCTCTCCTCATCCCTATTGGCTGCCCAACTTCATGGACGTCTTCACCTGGTCCCTGCCCTTCGTTGGAGAGAAAGGTGTGGCTCAGTCTGTGTTTGAGCTCAGTGTTTACTTTGACCTCAGACAAAGCAGCAGTGGCTGTTGTTCTGTCAGGATGTCCTGTTGGTTCACACACACACACACACACACACACGCACACACACACATTCACACATTCACTGAAACCATGTCGTCTTGATGTTGCTCTGTTACTTTGACAAACTCAAATCCATTTCATATAAACTGATTTAATGGTAACAAGAAGAAGAAGAAGAAGAAGAGAAAACTAACCAGTCCTATCATGATTGAACGATGACTCAGCATTTAAAGACAAACCTTTGATTATTTTATTTATTTATTCCTGGACTGTATAAATGGAGCAACATTCCAGAACTGCTTCATCTAAAAAAACTGAAAACTGAAAACTAACCAGTCCTTCAACTCTGCTGACTTGTTTGTTTGTTGGATATTTGTCTGAACTCTAGGCTGAAGTTTCTGACTTGTTTGTTGGATATTTGTCTGAACTCTGTTTCAGTTGTTGATTTTTTTTTTGTTTTTTCTCTCAGTGACTGAGATGTTGGTGAACGTGTTGAACATCTGCTCTGACGACGAGCTGATGTCAGAAGGAGACGACACCTGTGAAGGTGAGAGGAAGTGACACGGTGACGGATGTTTGACAGATCAGTCGGTCACTGCTGGACGTCTGTCAGAGAGTAGAGATAAAGGACAGATGAGACGAGGAGGACGAGGAGAAGGAAGAGGAGGAGGAGCTGGAAAATAGGAAGAAAAAAATTAAATTAAATCAGTTGATTTCTGTCCTTTTCTACAACTACATGTTTGTTTCACAGGTGGCGCTCCTGCTGTGAGGAAGGAGGTGATCAGGAATAAGATCCGCGCAATTGGAAAGATGGCTCGTGTCTTCTCCGTGCTCAGGTTGGTTTTTTTTCTTTTTTCTTTTTCTCATCACTCGCCGTCACTGTGTGTTTTTTTAAAAAAAAACCCAACAAAACGTCGTCTCTATAAACTTGGTTTCAAAGCAGGTTACCGACACCAGAGGGCGACCCACTTCAGTTCAGGGCTAATGACTTCTTACTGGGTTTGGACGTGTCCTCCTTTAATCCAGTGGAAGTGTGTCATCGTTATCACTGCGTCGGCTGATCAGAAAATGTCACGGTTATTTTCAGCTGCAGTCGTCGACCGACATGTTGTCGACACTCGTCGTTTATCTTCGTGTGTGTGTGTCTTCATTAGTTCTGCTTTTCTTAGTTTTTCACGCTTCACCGTGTCTAACGCAAAGACACACACACACACACACACACACACACACACACCTCTGTGTAACAGCGTTATTAAATACAGACGTGTTTTTAACACAGTAATAATAAAATCAGTTAGATCTAAACACCAGCCACTCGTTTGTGTCTTCATCACAGACACTGATTGTTGCAACGTTTGTTTTCTTGGTGTTGCATCAGAAAATAGTCTCTTTTTAATTTCATCATTAATTTAACGAAGAGAAATCAAAATCCTTGTGAGGAAAACTTTTTTTTCATGATGCAGAGAAAACTTTTTTTCTCTAAACAGAAGAAGTCTTTTCAGCAAAGGATTTCATTGGTTCAGACCTCTGTAGACTCCTGGAGGAGGTCATGTGACTCCTTGAAGAGAAATCAAAATTCTTGTGAGGAAAACTTTTTTTTTTTCATGATGCAGAGAAAACTTTTTTTCTCTAAACAGAAGAAGTCTTTTCAGCAAAGGATTTCATTGGTTCAGACCTCTGTAGACTCCTGGAGGAGGTCATGTGACTCCTGCTTCTTTGCTTCATCTCAGGACAGAAATCCAGTTTATTCTTCCGTCTTAGTGGAGAAAAACCCCAGTTGAAAGTAGATGAAAACTTCTTGGTTTGAGCTTCAGGCGTTTGAACAGAATTCCCTTCAAGTCTGGTTTAAAAAAGTCGCGTTTGCTGTGATTTATAATTATTCATTTCTTAAGGTTTGAAAAGCGTATTGTTTAAAACCTGACGTGACTTGATGCTCGAAGATAAAATGATCAAATCTCTAATTTCATTAGCAGAAATTACTGCTGCCTGTCCTGGATAAACTGTGCTGAATATAAAAATACACAGCTCTGGTGCCCCCTAGTGAAGGGGGAAAATATAACTTTTTTAATCTCTGTTGCCAAATAGAATAGTTTGGATTGTTTATGATGATGGAAGTGAAATCCAGGGGTCTAAGAGCGCCCCCCTGTGGAACTCCAGGAAAAAAGGTATTTGGAGATAAGTGTGTACTGCTCCTCCTGCTGACACAGGTGTGTGTGTGTGTGTGTGTGTGTTTTGACAGAGAGGAGAACGAGTGTGTGTTGCAGCTGAAAGGCCTGACACCGACAGGAACTCTTCCTCTGGGAGTTCTTTCCGGAGGTCGACAAACTCTACAAAGCGGTGAGTGTTCCTACGACCGAGGTTTCCCTCAAACCGAGCACTAACGCAGAAGCTGACGCTAACTTCCTGTGCCTGAACTCACACACTAACGGACCTGAATGCACACCACCACACTAACACAGTAAAAAAAAAAAAAAAAAAAAAAGATTTTTATTTTTCCTCATATTACTTCATTTACATGAAAATATTTGTGCTTTTCATTTTCGATCATTTTTTTTAATAGTTCCTTCAGGTCAGAGATGTTCCAGAAAGATTCTGATGCAGTAAAATGTTCCATGTCTTCATATAAATGTAGTATTTTAATACTAGGTCTTGTAGAAGTATTTCTCACGTAGTTTTTTTTTTTTACGTCAGAAAACCACTGTCCACTGTGAACATGTTGTAACCAATCAGAGGTGATTCTGCTGCTGCTGAGGATAATGATCTGTGTCATGTGACCTTCTAACATGTGGGCGGGGCTGTTGTATGATGATTGACATGTTAACTGACCGACTGACTGAATGCTACTCTCTCTCCATTGGTTTTGGGCATGACACTCTCTCACGCTTACACAGCCACGGTAGAGGCAGAGGAGGCTCGAGGTACGACACCGTCTCTGTCCGTCTGTCTCTCTCTCCGTGTCCTGTCTCTCTCTCTCTCTCTCTCTCTCTCTCTCTCTCTCTCTGTCTGTGGTCCTAACTGATCAAGTCCTTGTCTGTCTGTGATTTTCCAACTGTCTGCGTCACCACAGACTGTGTAGAAGAAACATGGACATGAGAACTCCAGAAAGAGCTGGAAATAACCTGACCCCCCCCCTAGCTGTGACTCAGGGTATAACATCCCAACAAACGGCAGTTTTCCTCTAAATGCGATTACAGTTTATTCAATAAGAAACATAAGAAACGACAGAAATCTTTTTTTTTTTATAGAAATGTCCGTTTATTTTTCAACCTTTGGTCCAGAACTCTCTCCAGAAAAAACTCAGAGATTTGTAAATATTGTAGTATCTGAAGTAAAACAAACTGCGTTTTGTTAGAAATGTTGCGTCGTTTATCAGGGACGGCGTTTCCGTCCATTTCCTCCGTGTTCATTTGGTCGTTTAGTTCATGAAACCGTATAGTGTGCACTTTTTTATATCGTGTTATTCCTTTAATGGCGTCAGTGTTAACTATGGTCACATCGACCGCCTCGTTTTCCGAATTTCTAGTTCTGCTTCCTTGTTCTAGAACTCGGGGTCAAACCTCAGACGGTGCAGGCGTTAATTTAGCTTCAGTAAAATAGTGGCTTTAAAGTATTTTTTATGTCAGACTAACGTAAGTATTTACTGCCAGTTTTTTTAAGTCGCCCCCTGTTGGAAGACACCGGTATCTCTGTCCATTTCTTATACACAGTCTATGGTGGAAATGCATGTGTTAATTCATTGGACGATAAAAACTAGGGATGTCCGATCATATCCGACCGATATTAGCATAATTGTGTAATATCTATAAGAATCGTTATCGGTTTTTCCTCCGATAATGAAAACCCAATAACGCAATGCCTGGGGTTTTGCGTTAATGGGTTATGATGTGTGACCTAAAAATAGTTTTGGGGATAAATGGCTGTATATTATAAAGAAAGTCACTAGATGGCAGCAGTGCAGCTCATTTAATTAATCTAATACTCATACAGTGGTTTAAATCAATCAATATTACCAGGCCTATATCGGTATGGGTTGTTATCGGAATCGGAAATTAAGTGTTTGGACAACATCGGACATCCCTGATTTAAACCAATCATTAGCCTCTGTGGTTTCTGTCCTGATGTTGTTGTGTCTGTGACTTTAACACCAGAGGTTTGGATCATCACTGCGTCAACTCTCACCTGTAGCTCCATAAAAAAAACACACATTTACAGAGGAACATTTTGACGTTTTAGATTTTTTTTTTTTTTCCCAACCAAAGTTTGCATCTTCAGAAATGTTTTTAAATTCTAGTTTGTAGAAATGTATTTTTTTCTTGTCGTCAAATGTACTAAAAAATTCAATTCTCTCCGTCGCTGTCGCTGTCGCTCACAGCCATCCTCCGCTTCAACCCTCAGCACAGGATCCAGAGTTTCGAGGAGGCCCGAGGTCTGGACCGCATCAACGAGAGGATGCCGCCGCGCCGAGACAGCAAGCAGCAGGAGTCCACCCCGTCCCTCAACAACCTGCCGGCCAGCACCGGGCCCCCGGACAAGAACGGCACCAATGCCCAGGCCTAGACCCTCCTCCTCCTCCTCCTCCGCCTCCTCTTCCTCTTCTTCTTTCTCTTCTTCTTCTTTCTCTTCCTTCTCCTCCTCCTCCTGCCTCTCTACTCCTCCTCCAGCAGGAGGAGACGCCGCCGTTCAGTCTGAGCGACTCGTCGCCTTTAATTTATTTTATTGATCGATGACGTGTCATCGACGGAGACTGAGCAGGATCAAATGTCATCGTCACACAGATCTATTTCACACCCAGGTCTGGAGTTATTTTCTTTATTTTTATTATTGAGGAAGAGGAAGTGACGCTCGCTGAAACGCTATGTTCACACACACACACACACACGCATCCATACACACACACACACACACACACACACACACACACATCTTTCTTATGCCAACGACAGTGTGACTGAGTTCTGAGTATTGATCTGTAACGTTAACATCTAAATTGTTCCCACTTTTCGATGTGACTTTTTTTTTTTTAAATCATAACTTTAGATTAAATAATCAGAGAAGGAGGAGGACAGAGTTTAGGTTCTTCTGGGGTTTTTATTTTTTTTGTCAGCTTTTGTAAAAGTCACTGACATCTCGTCAGCACTGATTGCACCATTGGCGCCCCCTGCAGTGAGAAATGCAGAGTTTCAATCTCAGTGAAACCAAAGCGGAGCCAATCAGAGTGAAAGGACGGCGTCCAATCAGTGCTCACGTGGTGTCAGTCGAACAAGGGCTGCGAAAAAAAAAACAAAAAACTGAATCTACCCTTTAATGGCAGGAGCAGAGAACAGAGAGGTCAAAGGTTAAAGGACGATTCCACTCGACCTTAAAGTCTGGAAGGACAGAGTGAGGGAGAGTTCCGTCCTGAGGTGGAGTCATTTACTGTCCTTCTGTCTCGGCTCATGTTAAAGATTCGTCCACAGATCTGGAACGTTCTGAACCTGAACTCGGATCAGCTGCGCTTCTGTTTTCTGTTCATGGCGATTTTTCTTTTCAGTGACGTGGAATCGTCCTTTAACCTGACGGCGATGATGATGACGATGAGGATGATGATGGTAGGGTTTGGATTATTGATTCGTTACTTTTACTTTTCTGAGGGAGTGGTTAAAGTCTTGTCTTTTCTGATTCTGTCTGGGTCTTTGAACATATCACAGAATGTACAGAAACTTTTTTTTTGTTCGTTTTGATTTTGGTTGAGTTCCTGTACGCGAGGCCTCGTTTATGTCGATGTTTTCACTCCATTCAAATAAAACAGAACGGTGACATCACCACCTCCACCTGCGTCCGTTCATGACTCCCCCTGGTTAAGGACTCCGGGACACTGGTGCTGCCGCAGCCAATCACAGCGCGTCGTTGGAAGTGTTGCTTTGTGAGGAGTGGTACTGAACGCTCACCAGCTCTGAGGTGAGAACAAACAGGTTTGACGAAACGAAAAATAAATATAAGTAAAATGACAAAAAAAAAACAAATTCAAATCTGATGAAAAAATAGAAAAATTACGATATAAAAAGATCAGCTAATGTGAAATAAAAGTGAAAGATAAGTTTAATTCTCAAATCTCATCTTTTTAAATGTATTATTCCATAACTATGACGTCACTCAACGATCTTTACTTTCACAGCTGTAACCATGACGTTCTGTCATTAGAGACTGCCATTTTACATTTTAAGACTCTCTGAAAATGTCCTATTATTTAGGACAATACTTCCAGTTACACGGCCAGCAGCGCCCTCTGCTGTCAGAATTTTTACAGAAGATTTGAGGTTTAAAATGAAACTCACCGACGTAGTGATCCTCCTCACTCTGCTGCTCTGTGACTGAAACAGAAAATGGTTCTTATTAGACTCTGGTTCTGGTTCTGGTCCATTTATTCTTCAAGGGTTTGACCCACGTACCGTTCATCTGGGCAGCATCGTCTTTCCGTGCAGACTCGAACACCATCTGGTCTGAAAAACACAAGAAGAACGTTCGAAAAACAAACTGAACAAAACAGATAAAAATAGACTTCACATATATATATAAATAAATATATATGTATATATATATTTTACAATATAATCTTTACTCAGACCACAGATCAGTGTTAGCATTGTTTTATTATTTATTTTAGTTGTATTTAATTTTTTAATGTATTATAATTTACTTAATTTTGTTAGGTGTTTTTTTTGTTTTTATTGTTTAATTTTAGATTTTTATTTGGAAATATTTTTAAACATTTTATTTATAATTATTTTTGTGTTTTGAAGTTTCACTTTTAAGTGTTGCTTTTTAATTACATTTTTTTATTTAATTAGTTTAATATTTGACTTTTTTCCTGTTTTGATTATTTTAACTATTTTTATTAATTAATTTATATTTTTATATATATATATTAGTTAAGTTTAATTTAATTTTTACACAGTATTTTACTGGCCTTTCTTCAACTCACCGACGTAGTGATCCTCCTCACTCTGCTGCTCTGTGACTGAAACAGAAAATGGTTCTTATTAGACTCTGGTTCTGGTTCTGGTCCATTTGTTCTTCAAGGTTTTGACCCACGTACCGTTCATCTGGGCAGCATCGTCTTTCTGTGCAGACTCGAACACCATCTGGTCTGAAAAATTGAATTAATTAATTAGAAAAATTTGAATTATTTTTTAATTCAAAACAAAGTATATATATATATATGTATATATGGGTATATATGTATATGTATATATGTCTATATATGTGTGTATACATACATATGTGTATATATGTATGTATATATATGTATATATGTTATGTAATGTGTGTATAAATACATATATGGATATATATGTATGTATATATATGTATATATGTCTATAAATGTGTGTATAAATACATATATGGATATATATGTATGTATATGTGTATATATGTATGTACATGTACAGTATATATGTCTATATACGTGTGTATATATGCATATATGTGTATATATAAATATATAGAACACTTGAAATATATAGAACACTTGATCTGCGTTTAAATGTGCGACACATTGTTCTGTGTTCCTGTGACTCACCCGTGTCGTGATCCTCCTCACTCTGCTCCTCTGTGACTATAAATAATTTAAAGAAAAATAATTTTTATTTCTGATTCTGGAAGACGGACACGTTTGTTTGGTTTTGGTTTTTTTTTCGACTGGACTCAGGGTTTGACCCACGTACCGTTCATCTGGGCTGCGTTGTCTTTCTGTGCCGACTCAAACTCTATCTGGTCTGAAAACACAAGGGGAAAATGTGACTTTAACCTCTTGACCTTTTGAGTTGTTTTCTCTACTGGTTAGTACAGTGTTATGGGTCACGGGGGTTCGATTCCCTGAAGGAACGGATTAGTAATTGACTTTATTTCTAAATAAAATACAAGAATAATCAGATGATCCATGTTCAGTTTTCTCAGCGACCTCTGCTGCCCCCTAGTGACACATCAAAGGTATTAAATGCAGAGGAGAAATGTGTCACTGTAAAATAAATATAGAAAATGAAAGTGACATCTACTTTAGTTTAACTCACTAACGCTAATCCAACATCAAACATAGTCAAAACAATTATTTAAATAAAAAAAAAACAAAAACCAACCGCTGACCGTACCTATTTTCTGCAGTCTGGTCAGTCCGTCTGCAGCACAGAAAAACAAGGCGTTAAATGAAGCAGGAACGTCATCGGTCAGAGATCGGTTTATTAAGTTCAGTCTCACCGTCCTGAGTCACATTCTTGTCTTTTTCTGCAGACTCCAGAGACGCTGACAGGGCTGGAAGTCACCGTAAACACATCCGTAAGTCTTCACAGATATATTCACAGGTATATTTACAGATAGAACAACAACAATATGTATTTATATTTATATTTATATTTATATTCTGCCGCTGAACGTTTAAAACGTAGACTGAGTTCAAGCTCCGGTGCATCTTAAATGACAACAACTGTCGTTCAACCGTAAACAAATCACTGACTGGTTCTTACCGCAGTGAAACGCTGCCACCGTGAGGAGAACAAACACCGGCTCCATGAACCTCATCTCTGCTGTTGTTGTTGTTGTTGATGTTGTTGTTGTTGTTGTTCTTCTGGATGTTTCTGTGCTTCTGTGACGGCGTCGTCACTCCGCGGCCTCTTATACCTGCGGCGGCGTCACATGGCCGGGCCGCTCTGGTACCATTGTCCCCCTTCTATCTGGGAGGACATCACCAGCATCACCACACAGACGTGGCCTTGTTCAGGCCTTCAATGCTGCCATTGTTGACCCCTGGGCCGTCATTGGACGATTGTTTTTATGTCTGTTTGATTATAGGAAAAATAGGAAAAAGGGTTTTGCAAAATTATTTTTCCAAATTTTATTTTTGTCTGCATTTTCTCATCAGATTAGGGCATTTTAAGAATATTTTTTATAGTTTTTTTTGTCAAATCTGTACATTTCGCATCATTTTTGGAAAATTCTAATAAATTTTAGAGATGATCATCGACACTGTGATCAAAGGTTGGCATATCCAAAAAGTATATTTTTTTCTGAATGT